CATTACCATAAATATGCATATAAAAGTATGTAGATACAAGTACGTTACACTCCTATACTCATTTTATACTTGGCAGTAATTTGTAACTACTACTTAAAATGTGTAACATGTAATGCAGACCTAGAGACTCTTGCTATCAATTGCAAACCTTTTTACTCTCCCCATGAATTTAACAGTTTCATTCTAATGGCAGTATACATAACACCACAGGCCAACGGTAGCGCACTATGCCTCCTGACAGAACAGATAACTAGCCTGGAGCTAGAACATTCCGAATCTCCACTCATTGTTCTAGGGGACTTTAACAGAGCAAATGTCTCCCACGAACTGCCCAAATACAGACAGTACATCACCTGTCCCACCAGGGACAAAATCATACTGGACCACTGCTACACAACAATAAAAGACGCCTATTACTCTGTCCACTGTGCTGCCCTTGGACTCTCTGATCACTGTATGGTCCATGTTATTCCAACCTACAGGCAGAAACATAAGGCTGCAAAGCCTGTGGTCAAAACAGTGAAGAGCTGGACTGGAGGCTAAGTCAGAGCTGCAGACCTGCAGGACTGCAGCTACAGACCTGGATGAACTCACTGACACTGTCACATCTCATATAAGTTTTTGTGAATATTTGTGTGTGTGCCCAAAAAGACCTTCTGCACATAAAACAACAACAAGCCCTGGTTTACAGCCAGACTCAAGCAGCTTCGTCATGCCAAAGAGGAGGCTTACAGAAGTGGGGACAGGACTGGGTACAGCCAGGCCAGGAACACACTGACAAGGGAGATCAGAGCAGCAAAGAGGAGCTACTCTGAAAAGCTCAGGTTTTAGCCATCGACCCCTCGTCTGTGTGGGGGAGCCTGAAAAGCATCACTGGCATCCCCCCCTGCTGTGGAGGACCGTCAACTAGCAGACAACCTGAATGTGTTCTACTGTAGGTTTGACAAACAACACTCCACCCTCACCTTCCCCGCCTCAGATCCAGCAGCTGCTCCCCCGGCAATCACCATCCTTCCCCCCAGCCCCCCACCTCTAACGATCTGTGAAAAGGATGTGCGTGGCCTCTTTAAAAAACAAAGGATCAGAAAGGCACCATGCCCAGATGGTGTGACCCCCTCCTGCTTGAAAGTGTGCACTGATCAGCTGATCACCATCTTCACACTCATCTTCAACAGGTCACTGGAGCTGTGTGAAGCTGCTTCAAACACTCCACCATCATTCCAGTCCCCAAGAAAACCTCCATCAGTGGACTGAACGACTACAGACCTGTCACCCTGACATCTGTAGTTATTAAGTCCTTTGAAAGACTAGTGCTGGCCCACCTGAAGGACACCGTAGACCCCCTGCTAGACCCCCTGCAGTTTGCCTAC